TGTTAAATAGGTCCTCTTTGATTGCAGAGCGTACTAGTGTACAAGTTTATAGACATGGACAAATTGGACAGTGTCTTTTGTTTTGGTTTGACACTGTCCCCACAGCATGTTATCCGTAGATGAGATTCTACTCCTCCGCCCGTATTGTTTGTTACATTGTGTTGGAGAGGATATTCCATTGGCAGGACATTAACTCGCGCTACACAGCCTACACTATTAGAACACAAACAACTTACCTTACTATAATAAAGAACAAGTCTTGATCATGTTTGTTTAAAACTTTTAATGTTTTAATAAGGCATTTAAACCATTTCTTTTTAAATTGATTAAATACTGTATAGGAACAGACATTGATATACCATACAGCAACCTTCACAGAGTTAATACATCTGGTCATAAAAATGATAAATATTGAAGCTATGTATAATTGTATATACAAAGTAAGATTAAATTAAATCTATGCTATTATTAACGATTATCCGATTATAATCGATTATCGATCGGTTAAGGAAACCAATAATCGATTATGAAATTCCAGCGATTCCCATCACTAATAATGACTAAAAATATGTTAACTATTTTACTGAAAAAGTGGCCAGAAATCGGTTTGACTTCAAAATTTCACATTGCACGTTTCATGTCAAATATTCACCGAAATAAAACCTCCCAGAGATAACATACTTTACCATCAAAAACTTCACAAGGACCCACTTCGCATTGGAATATATCATTGTACTTTGTAATATGGCGTGGTTGTCATGTGCGCCACATATCTTGGCAAAGTTCAACAATACCCTAATTTTGATATTTGGAACAAAACATTAGATTTTAGAGGCTTTAGTTTATTTTTGCTATTAGCGCCTAATGGCTAGATATGCTAACATCAGATACATTATGATTTTCACAATACTAATGCAAATTGCTCCACACTAGGTCTTTGATCATAATTATGTTAATCTTAAATGTCACCGATAACACCCTTGACTTACGCATTATTACAGCCTTGTAACACGCTTGATTAATACTACATGTTCAAATTTCCACAACGCTTTCATGTTATAGTTTTTAATACACAATTGACACAGATTTAACAGCATTGAAATTTAAACCATTACTAATTAATGTTACGTCTGAAAAAACATCACGAAAGTGTCCTTTCTAGATGCGCAGCATTTTTTGCTCAGAATCCGTATTCTCTGCTTCCTCGTCGTATGAATCATCTTCGTCGAGGCTGTCGTGTCTGATCCCGTCAGACCAATGGCTTGATTGTCGGCAGACAGCAAGCTTTTACACATGTCTCGATACATTTTCAAGTCCACTGGCAATGCAGACACAATCTCTGTAAGCTTGCAGGCTCTGGAAACAATTACAGGCCAACAAATCCCAGAGCAGCCTGAGGTGGCTTGGCTGTCCACTCATTCAGTCCACAAGCCAGAGTTGGTTTCATCTGATCATCCATTTCCATCTCCTTTTCAACTGGGCCTGGGCGCTCATGTGTCGCCTCTTGATAGCTTTTGTTCTAAACTTGCTGCCTGCCGTAACTTGGCTCCCGCCGCTGTACGTGTTTTCGGAAGCATCATGCATGGAGGGCAATTGGTGCTCTAATCTCCCCCTTCTTTCGCACAGAATAATGATCGGTTATCGAAGGCTATAAAATCTAAGTTTCCTTTGTACCAGACCTGGATGCATATGGAGCATGTGATATTCTCCAGTTCTATCGCATAGCGTCATCCGCCCACATTTCCAATTCTCTGTCCCAACGTCGGCGAACGTTTCTTAGACCTCTTTGCTTAGACCTAAGCATTTTAAGCGCTCCTAGTTTGGCTTTGCCTGCCAAATGTGGCTGACTGTTTGCAACCTGTGTAAGCATGCATCCCTATAAAGCTCCCATATGGACAAACACTCTGCGCCCACCTGAAGCTGCAAATTTTGGTAATGTCAATGACTTGTTCGCGACTCTTTGGTGCCACATTTCTGCGACAATGGTGATTGAATTTGAGTATGAAACGCCAACGCCCATGACTGACATACGTCGTGTCATCGGCAGCTGATTACAACTGCTGGATATACAGTCTGTGCAGCATGAGAAGCCGTGAAGTCAAGAGTCGACATCTGCCTTCCTCGTTGTACTTTGAAGCTCAAAGCACCTCCTAGGTCCTTCCGTGGTGATTTTGTAACACTTGTTTCGTTGTTTACAAATAAGACCCTTTCCATTCAGATGCTTGGTGTATCTGGTTTCTCCGCATTCGCTCACAGAATTGAAAATGACCGGCTAGACTTTCTTCCACATGGGCAAGAAGGCTTCTCGCATTGCGCCTTACAATCTTGCGATGCTGTGATGTTCTGAGCTTTCAGGCAATGGTTCCCTCTTCTCTGCGAGCCTTCACATTCTGTTGATGGATGTATCTTTGTACGGTGTTGAAGGACGATGTCGGATCCTGTATAGTGCTGCCATCATTCAGTGCCATGGACAAACAAACTGCGGCAACTTTCCTCAAAGTGACTTGATCCCCTTTTCACCCTATCTGGATCATGCTGCATTCCTATCTATTATGGTTGCAGAATCGTAGGAGTTTTGTCAGCTGGGGCATTCTTTTGTGAGATAATTAGCAAGAGCAGCCTTTGTTGGTTTTACAGGAAGACTTCTGGGGGTTGCCAGTGCCCATGGTATAGACCAAAGGATGGTGATGGTACATCAGCCATTTGCAGATTTCGTCGCCTGAGTGCATCACAATGATGCGACCAAACAATGCTCGCTGTCACCTTGAAGTAATCACGGATCTGCCACTATATCTGCACTTTTTTCTTGCTTGGCATAAATTGCTGAAGGTCTTCAGTTTGTGTTCATTTTTCATGGGATCAAATGAAAGCGTTTGCGCTTGGTGGCGTCCGTCTCGAGCTCTCTAGCTTTGAATCGAGTGTAGCATTGAACTCCATGCTCTGGCATTCTTCAAATCTGAGCAGATATCTTTGCACGCGGGCTTTTTTTGCTGTCGCATAACTGATAAGTTCGTGGCTTCTTCAATGGAATTTAACCCAGCTCTCACACAGATGTACGATGTTCGAAACAGCATTCCTCCTCTTTTCCTCAAACGCGTCTTCGTGGGCAGGTCAGCATGTGGAACATTTGATCCATCTTCAAATGTACCCATTTCCCTGCATCTGACAAGAAGGCCCTCCTGTGTTCTGCAAGTAATGTACATAGCACTTTGACCTGCTTCCTGATTTCAGACTAAAACCTTGTTTGTGCCCTACCTGGAGTCTGTGTGTCCTTGTTCACAGTGACTTCAAGTCGTTTGGTTAACGGGATGCATCCCAAATGTATTGTGACAGGATAGTTTGACAGAGCGAGCAAACACTTAAGAAAGCCTGGTACAACAGCTGGATGAATGCGCTGCCAGATTGGTCGATCTCAGCATAAATAACGCTGGTCAGGCGTATCGTGCATAGTTAAATCTGTCGTATGCAAAACACCAGGGAATCATGTTGTTGGATAGCAAGAGATGCAACGACCCATTTCCTTCTCTGAGCAGCAACGGCAGCAGGCAAGCAAGACGTTTTCAACTATTCCACATAACAGACATCCAACGGCTGAGAGTTCTCCCACCGTTTTTCATGGCGAAGATAGTTCTAAGAATTCGTTTCCAAGTGGTGAAACTAAACTCCGTTATTTTGGGGTTTGCCAGAAGACTGTCAACATTTCTGTTGTCACAAATGTTCGACCAAATCCAACCGTCACCTTCTTCTGAGAAGAAAAAACAGCAGACGTTATGTTGCTCGCTTTTCTTCTGGTTTGGTTTTTCTCAACCCATGGACTGAATGCTTCCATGCTAGTCTCATGAATGCTTCATAACCCAAACTTGTGCACATAACACTGCTCGGGTTGTACATCTTCCCATGAAAACACACTGGCCAGTGAGGCCAATTCTTGTGAAATATACAGAAACCGGTGCAATGTGAATTTTGAAACAAAGTCAAAGCGATTTCGGTCCGCGACTTTTTCACTTAAATTTTAACATATTTTTAGTCATTATATCAA